TTGCAAGACGCATAGCATTTTGAAACTCTAGTTTTTGAAGAGGCAGTACTGAAGTAGACCAGTTCAACAGGGACAGAATAGGTGCGATGAAACGACGAACATGAGGTAGAACATCCCAGGCAAGAAGCATACGGGACACGATTTCTGAAAATCAGATATCAAACTATGCGCAGTGGGTGGGCAAGAACTCACAGCTAGAACACAATTTACCATCTTTTCTGGAACCTTCTTTCTATAAGGCTTTGTTCGGATTCAAGTGAGGAACGTAACTTCCTCCAAGAACGAAAAACAGTGGAAGACTCGAACATCCTGTAAAAGAAAAAATCGTAGAAAATAATAGAGCAGACTTGGTATGGGAGCATTTTGCACCTTCGCTACTTATCGACGTGTCGAGCTAAATAAACTTGTGAAATCTTGTGAATCGGTAATACTAGTCCAAATTTGTGGAGACCTTCTGTCAACTCGTGTAAGGCAATGCACATCGGTGAAAAGTAGCGAAAGTGCAGAATGTCCCCTGCCAGCCGATCTAGGTCGTTATAGGTTCGTCCAGCTGACCTTAACATCACCAGTGTGTAGAAGTTCCTCAACTGCTGAAACGATAAATTCTTCCTATCATCTTTGCACGCCCGCTCGGAATCTTCATGAACGCATCTCATCAACGTAATTTCTACGGGTGAAAAGCAGTCGATTGCTCCGACACGAGTGAAAATATCATTGAGTAGGTCTGGACGGCTGAAAGTAAAATTTACCTGCGGGATCCTTGAAGGCAAACTGAACACAAAACTCCAGAGCAGTCATTTCCATGTGCAAGGTGAATGGGTCCGCAGCAGCAGTAGCGGTCACATTTTTCGCTCAAAAAAGCAAAACGGGTCTTCAGGGTAACAGCAACCAAGTGCCATCTCAATACGCCACCCGCGCAAACCTCAAGACGCACTACTTGCGTCGATATCAAGGCCGTGAACTGTATTAGGCAGTCAGAGGTAACGAACAGCTAGTGCAGTCAGCGGTATACGACAGCTAGAAGGTGGGACGGTGGCAGTTAAGAGGCATTTGGACTTATGGCTGGGTGACTCATTGACTTCGTGCTGGAGCAGGGGCGCGTCCTCAGGAACTGCTAGCGTTTCTGTGCATTTTTGCAGGTAGGGGAAGGGACACAACGCTACGTTGGCAGACCCCCAATTCCACGACCAGGATGCGAGTGTACATTTTGTCCCTGATGAAAACGGGTATTAATATTTTTTATGCGTGTGAGCTAAGCCACAGCCAAAATATTTGCCATGACTGAGTGACTCTGCAAACTAATTACTTTAACGATGCCAGCGAAAGGTTGAAAAAGGAAAACAAGCAGAAAAAATGCAAAATTGTAAAAAGTGGATCTACCTTCAGCTTCGCTATAGAGGTGAGGCCAGAACTTGAGGGACTACCGAGTGCAAAGGCTCGTATGAAATAATCTTTCCATGTTTTTTATTGAGCGTCAGCGAGCACGTTGCTGACCTGGAAGACTGGAGGCTATGGCAGTAAGTTGTTCTAGTCAAAACATATAACTATTTGGTTTGTAGTAATCGCTTTATGCGTTTTCTGAAAAGAACGTGAGAATCAATGGGATTGACCAAGAAGTGATTGTTATTTAGTTTAAAATGTGCCTGTGAAAAAATGAAGGATTGTAGTGACTGTTTTGAGAAGTTCAGTTCTACGGCATTCCACAATGACGGTCAGGGCTACGTGATCGTCAGCGCCACATGCGGGTTGTCCTTGAATACACTCCAGAAGATACCAGCGGGCAGATTTTCGTCGCTACAAAACAGGACAGCCGGAAGGGCTCCGGCTGTAAAATTACTGCCATTCCCACTGAGGATCTCCTTGACAAGTTGGTCATTTCGAAGTGGTGCTGAGACGCTAAATCCGAAAATATACTAAAAATTGGTGATAATTAATTTTTCTTGAAAAAACATGCTTTATATAAGGCAGGCGTTTCCGGCTCGATTGGGAGAGCATAATAGAATTATAGTGGCAATCCAACATATCAGCGAACCCAGGAATCAAGTCTTCACAAGCCTAAAAAAACTAGTTTAATGGAGACACGAAAAAGGGTATCCGAAATTAACAAGGACCTGAAGTAAGTTTTCGTGCTGTATAAGAGCTTCCAGTAGACGGGGATGAAGCTTGAATTTCGTGGGGTCGCCAAGTACACACCTTACTAATTTCTGAAATACTGTCTTATAATTAATTACCTTGAGAAGACCTGAGTTTTCAGCTCAACTCAGTCGTGAGACAAATTTGAAAGGTAGGCAGCAGGGCCTTAATATGGCTCGAACCGACCGGGAGCGCTTAGCTGAACCAAAGAAATATCCAAGCGTAAGCACAATCAGAAACTATAAAATCTTCTCGATAGGAACCGATGGAGGCCGTTAGGTAAAGTTCGACTTTGTGGGGGCACCCCAAGGTACTCAGCGAAGCCTCCACAACTCACTTTGTGTAGATCTATAAATTCCTGTGACCGAAGTGGCTCACATGTACCATTTCGCAGCTTCACAAGAGTTCACAGGTCACACCCAAATGGGACTGGCAGAATGGACTAAAGAAGTGAAATTCCCCTCCCGTGCAAAACATCGCACCTTTTCGAGGAGATGTTATCTGGTAACTATCGTCCGTTACCGTAAGAAAACCAGTTCCTGAAGAATGCGGGTCTGCTTCAAAGAAACATAAAAAAAACGGAGAAAGTGAGAATATGAGTCCTAATACTACCCACCAACGTGAGAACCACGTTATTCGAAGCCCTTTCGAACAGGTTGGAAATCGTCGTCCAGTCCAGCATTGATGATGGGAGATTGTCCAAGTAGCGTATCAAACAAGTTACACTGAGATGAGTAAGATCGACAGTGATGGACTCATCCTTCTGAAAATAAACAAGGAAGTCGGTCTCTGCAGTGAATTGTGACAACTAAAGGACTAAATCAAAAATTAAAAATTTATTCTTACTTTGCACGTCCTTATAATGTATGTGTTCAGCAGACGACGATAGATCCTTCCTTCTTGTTCGTCATATTCACCTTCAAACACGTCCTCCTCGATCAATCGCCTTAAAAACGTTTCTTAGAACATCAGAGCAGACTGGCTTGAAAGAGAAATAGGTGTATTGGGAAACGGGGCCGCTTACTTACGCTAGCAGTCTGGAGGTGAAATCTTGAATGGACACAGGCCCGTCAATAGTTAGGTTTTCAGGGTTCGGAAATTGGTACCACACATGTTTAGGAGGATCAGAACTAATTTGTATGTATATTACTGGCGGTTCTCAGCTTCACTC